AAAAAGTAATAAATTATGTTCAAGTCCTCTATGGGTATGATTTCGTGACGTTCATTCCCTTTTTTTGCTCATTTGGAGAAACATGTAAAAAAGCATATGATAATCTGTATCAACAGAAAAAAATCAATGTGATTAAAGTTGTTTCAAAATCCTCCATAAATAATAAATTTTTTCGAAGTCGTCCACAGATAAATTTTGTACGTTCATGTGACCATATTGTTTGGTGTGATTATATTGATTATATTGATTACCATTTAGCGGACCAAAGAATGATATATGGGCAGCTGGTTGTGTACTTGTTGTTATGCTTACCGGAGATTTACCATGGGATAGAGCCTCTCGGTCAGTAACCTTTTAGTAAACGACAAATCAATTTTTGAAGTTTCGAAATTGCAGGGCTGATCCCGCATTTGCTATGTGGCTCAAAGGCCAGATCCCTCCAGTTCTGAGGAGTCTAGATAAGGATACATTAGGTGGGTTCAACTTGCATCTATAGGTTAACGAAGATTTTTGGTGGACGTTTTTGAGAATTTTAAAGACTGAGAAGTGTAAAGATCCCTGCGAGATAAATATACTAGTTTTAGGAGAACATCTGGATTATTTTTGTAAAATTATGTTTTCAGCTTTTGTTCGAGATATATTGGTAGTTGATGAAAAATTACGTCCAACAGCAAAGCAACTGTTGAAGCATCCGTGGTTGAATGCCCAAACAGGTGAGTTCATCTTTTGAAAATGAGGGATAATTTTGAAAAAAATGAAAATGTTTTTAGAAAAACGATCCAAGAAAATTAGCAATGCAGAGCCAACAATGAAGCGTGCAAGAATAGAAAATCACTAGAATGATGAACAAACCCACGAGTCTTTGTACTGGTTTCGTCAATGCATCAAACGATCCTCATTCGTTACGGTTATTTTTATTATTATTTATTACTTTTCTGTAACTTCCGTCATACTTCTTGTATACTCTATGTTGGATATTATGATATGTTGATCTTTGTTAAGTTTTGAATTATGAGCTGATTGTTTATACAGTTAATTATGCCGGGTAAGACTTTAACGGGATTGTAGTGAATTTGACTGGACAATGTGAAACATGACGATGATAAATGCTGAGTTATAAACCGTGCTCGAAACGTACCTGACGGTCAGCTGTTCCTATCTTTGACATTGCCATACCAAGTAGAAGAGCGATGGAGGGGAATTTATCAAGTGAAGCCAAAACCTCATGGACATGGAATGTGTTGAAGTTCGGCAGATGACCATTTAGGCCGAAGGCATACAGTAGACCAGCGGCCGCAGGGGGCGAAATCTAAACTGTCTTTGAGAGGAAGTCTTATTTTTCACGAAAAGCAGATCACAATAGAGCCTATGCGGAGCGGGCATATAAACATTTCATTTCATAATCGCATAATAGTGCAACTAACGATAAGAGACTCGAACCCGCTAAGCACAAATCTCTTAGAAGGCAGCGCCTCGACAAAATGACAACTTTGAGATACTAATCGTTCGGTTTCCCTAGATGAGTTAAGTTCAAGACTGTGCTTTGCAGCTTCAAAAGATATCAGTAAACCGCTTTTTCAGACGTGAAAAGTATAAGTTGGGCGGACCGCGTATGCTTGCCCTCTAGAGCGCGATTG